CCATGAACCCCCCCCCCCCCCCCCCCACTGAGATTTTGAGTTTCTAAAAAAAACATCATTGATCTACATGACGCCATGGGCGTCAATCCTGGGGTGACAGGGGACATGTCCCCCCCCCCCCCACTTTTTGAAGGGTGGGGGACACAATATCAAATGTCCCCCCCCCCCGATTTTTGAACTCGTGTCTCATTTACAGGGCCCTATTATGTACTACAATGTATCTTTTGCTTAGAAAATATTGGTTAAAGTGGTCAGAAACTGCCTCAGATAGCACCACAGAGCATTTAGAATCCAACATTTTTCGGGGCCCTTAAGCGGGCCCCGAACCCCACACCTAAAGCTCAGAATTTGGGTAGCTGATTCAATGACTCCAACCTCGAAAACAATGTTCAAAAAGTGTTCTTATGCCCCTAGCTGAGAAAACCTCAAAAATTATGTTTAAATTATTATCTTTTGTGCTACGATAATTATTGGTTAAAGTGGTAAGAAATTGCCTCAGATCACACCACAAAGCATCAAGAATCCAATTTTTTTTCGGGGCCCTTAAGCGGGCCCCGAACCCCACGCCGTAAGGGCTTCGCGCTTTGCGCTCGCATCAGTTCGGATCAAGGTATGCCCCCCCCCCACTTTTGAGAAGCGATTGACGCCCCTGCATGACGCCCCCCCCCCCCATGAAATATCCCCCCAGCGCCCCCCCCCCCCCCAAACTGAAAAATTCCTGGCTACGCCACTGCCCTCACCAGTGTCAAAGCTGAAAAGTTTATTGTTTACAGCAATTTCTGACCAACCAGAACAAAAGCACTTGCCAAATAATTGTGTCCTTTTGCATATACAGAACAACAAGCCACGTCACCTAAAGACAATGCCACTTGTAGAGTCAATGACATGTTTTGGTATGCCTGAGGGCAATAGGTGTCACAATCGCTGAAATTGAGCCATGAGTTGATGCCAGAACTAGTTGCTATTGGTTTACATGAATATCAATTTTTTGGGGGTGTTAGCTGTGACACGTGTCTTGACGCAGAGTTTAGTTCATTCTCTTTGCATACAAAATAATCGTTCTCTTTGCATACAAAATTGCCATGAAATAATTGCACCATCAAGATCTCCAGAATTTACTCCCGGCTGTGAACGATGAACTAAATCCGGCACGGGGGTTTACCCTCCCTCCCCGCCCCCTTGAATGGTTTTTATAATAGCTCAGAAACGAGCTACAATAGCCCTATCCATTTTCAACAAAACAAATCATGGTCACAGGCCCAAAACCGAAAAAGATAACAAGGATATGCATTATTATGTTATTCGAAAATTCATTATCTTTGCCAGCATTCTCCCACAAAGTATCAACGAAAATACCTAATCACAGGACAAATAATGACAAACAAAACAAGGAAATGTTTTTTGTGAGTCAAAACCATGTTTTATTTGCCTGGCTCTATCAAGCACAAAACAAATTCATGGTCATGGGAACAACTACAATGCATGCTGGGAATCAAATGGTGCCATTGGCTCAAAAAGCCATTACCCATTAGCAACTGTACTATTTTGTTATATATTGTATTTATTCACTGAAAAATCGATCATAATACTGTAGAGTGCCAAGGCGGTTTTGGGAGCTATACAGGGCATATTAGGAAAGGCGGTTTTGGGCGATATACAATTTGGCGTCCAAGGTTAACTTTGGAGAACAATCATCTCTTTTTTTCTCTTTAAACAAAATAATAATTTGCCCCAATAGTTCAGTAACTAATGATTATTTAAAAAGGTTGTGGAATGCTCGAAGACATTTCCGTCATTTTGAGGGTATATGTAGCCTAAGGTGTGATGAAATAAAAACGACTATTGTTTCTGTCATGAAATGAGTACAAAGGTTACTTTCGAGAGCTATTTTTTCAGGTCCTGTTTCGACCCGAACGTGCAATTTGTGTAAAAGTCGTCGTTGCGGGCAGCAAACAAACGTTTATGCTACTCTGTATCGGGAGTCCTGTTTATAACGTCACGATTTACTGTGTTTTGTTTGCTGCCCGCAACGACGACTTTTACACAAATTGCACGCTCGGGTCGAAACAGGCATGACAGGACTTGAAAAACAGCTCTCAAAAGTACCTTTTGTACTCATTTTATGAAAGAAACAATAGTCGTTTTTATTTCATCACACCTTAGGCTACATATACCCGAAAAATGACGGAAATGTCTTCGAGCATTCCACAACCTCCTTAATGTATGCATTGTATGTTTGTATGCAAGAACTGTCAAATCCCAAAACCAAGAATACTGTGCAGAGGAGGGATATCCTTTAGTCTGTGTAGCGCCCCACAAACCCCTGTATAATACACTGTAGCACTCTAAACTACCCAAAACACTATATTATCGAAATTTCTGATTTGATTATTGATGACCAGAAAAAACCTGTTTACCTAAATTTTAATGTTTTTGAATGAAAGATGTTCAAGTCTCTGCCTAAAATACTGTTTTTCACCCAAAATGGGGAAAATGCAATAAAGGTTCCTCTTGTGGTCAGCGCATTGAAACCAAATGACTTCATGTTGTAGAATTTTGGCCAATCAACATTTCTGCAAATGTTCAGGAGAATCTGCCGTCGAATACAGGATTTAGGATGGGATGTGCCCCCCCCCCCCTCGGTCCTGAAAAGACCCCAAAATACCCCGGTCCTTGATACGGTGAAGGTGTATGAGCCCGGAGGTTTTTCCTTACACAACTTTCAGAGTAGTGTTATCCGGTTGCGAGCAGACAATCTTTCAAATATCCTTGAATAAACTTCCCAACATTAAGGAAGTAATTCGAAACAAGAAACCAGCATTACTTGGGAATTTCCCTTTAAATTCTGCTTGACAAATTACATGCAAAGACATCCGGTCTAGAGCTTTGAAACAAAATGTGTTTAATGGCCTGGAAGTAAAGTAATTAACTTTTAGATAGAAACTTGGCACATTAAAAGTCGGGGAGTCCCTTGGGAATTTCCAGTCAATTTCCCTTTTTATTGTCTATGCTTAATGTCTATTTCTATCCACGAACAGTTGTAAAAAAATCTTTTGGTCTCTACCTTGCAGCGAAATTTCTTAGTAAACTTCAGAGTAGTGTTATCCGGTTGCGAGCAGACAATCTTTCAAATATCCTTGAATAGACTTCCCAACATTAAGGAAGTAATTCGAAACAAGAAACCAGCATTACTTTGGAATTTCCCTTTAAATTCTGCTTGACAAATTACATGCAACAACATCCCGTCTATAGTGCCTTCAACCAAAAGTGCTGATGGCATGGAAGTAAAGTACTCAACTTGTTTAGGTAGATAGTTGGCACATTGAAAGTCGGGGAGTCCATTCAGTGGACGGGGGCAATTGGGGGAAAGGAAATAAGTTTAGGGGCGGGCCAGTAAAACAAAAACTCAAGCCTGTATACGCTCGCGCGTAGCCAACGGTCCGCTTATGAGCCACTAGAGCAATTATACTATTTGGGTTACGAACAAAGTGATAAGACAGGGATCAAAAGATAGAATTTAAAAAATGATCATTTTTAAATTCTCCCTACATTAACTTCCAGTCTGATGACGTCATCATTTTGAAACCTTGCAAACTTATATGTAGTTGATAAATTTTGGTTAAATTGGGACGGATGTTTTTTTTAGGTTGAAGAAAGGAAACTCTATTTGATGAACCACTAGAGGGCGAACTTTGAAATGATGACATCATAATGTTATTTGTGTGTCCTTCATTCCGTTCTAACACTACCATAATTTATTTGCTGATAGTAAAGAGCTCTGCTTTCGAGTTGTATTCATTATTTTATTAGACCTCCGGTAACACCGGAAGTGAAGGTCAAGCTGTTTTGTGCCCGGGAATAGAATCGTTGCCCGAGGCATCATTTATATCCGCACGCAAAAGCAAACGCGATACTCTATTTAGTTTCAAAGATATAGCTAAAACTATTTTCACCAATTTGGCATTTAAATTGCTTGTAATTTGATACCTGTTTTTTTACATCTTCGGACGGGGTTCAAGGTCATACCAGGTTTCATCATAATCGAGTAAATCGTTGAAAGAAATTCGGTTCGTTTTGATTTCGAGGCTTCTGTCTGTATCTTTAATTTACCCAACGTTGACCTTCTGGTTGACCCGGAAGTAAAGGTCATGTGAGTTTACGAACACAACAAAAAATGTTATTTGATCACAACGTATGAACATAATTGGTTATTTTGTTTGAGAGTTATAAGTGAAAGACGTTGGTCATTTTTTTTTTACGAAAATCAGTTGTAATTTTACACCCGATGACGTCATCATGAAGTCAGAGTAATATGAACCACAAGGGATGAGGGTCGATGTATGTTGAAGGTAACAAGTTCCTACCATATACAGTTTAGTAGAAAACCGCGGAGAATTATTGTCAGGAAAAAAAGAAGAAGATTTATCAGAACAATTCATAACAGTGGTCGGGTTGTTCGGGAAATTCTGATTAAATCACTACTCGAATATGGCCAAAGAAGGCGCACACGCACAGTAGGTTGTATTAAGCTTCCTCTTTTTTTCGTCCGAAGTTCGCTTAAAATGTAGTTTGTTAGACGTTATTATTTACCAGGGTATGGGTTAGTATAAATACACCTGATGGGCTTACGTATGTCAACAGATTTTGGTTTTTATTATATCTGTTTACATCTGATGCGATAGCCGTTTTATGTGTTATGGAACACTGCGATATTTCCGTAGGCCCCGAATTTTTCGTAGGCCTTCAAATTGTTCGTAGTCCCGAGGCACACTGCTTTCTATGCCTAATACGGGCCTGCATGATGGGCTTAAGTATGTCAACAGATTTTTCTTAAATGTGTTTACATCTGACACGAAAGCCGTTTCAGACTTGCCTGTTCGTATTTTCATCAGCGAATAAAGGTTTCAAGCTTTTAGTTCCTATATATTATTATCTCCAAAACTAAAGCAAACTGTAGAAAGGAGTCATTCCACACGGTCGTCCGTTACAATTTTAATGCAAGAAGTCTATTATTGTCATGCATACATGATAAATACAAATACTGTGAGAGGTAAAAGTTTTACCGACATACGACATACATCTGCAGCCAAGTATAAATGCGTTTTTAGGAACCGCAGAAACAAATGAAGCGAAATTCGGATACGCAGTTTACAAGTTTGTATGACTTCGTGCAAAGTAAGAAAATATGTAAAATTACTCTAGACTGTCTTCCATTGCTTACCTTTTATCCAAAAACCATGTCTTTACCCTATTGTCATATACGATAATTACAAATACTGTAAGTGGTAATTTTTTTATTGAAATACAATATACACCTGCAGTCAAGTATTATAAAATAAATTAAGGAACTGCAGAAACAAACAAGTTGAGCTTCGGAAATGCAATTTAACAAGTTGAAATGAGAAAAATAACGAACCATAAATAAAAAAAATAATTTATCTTTAAATTGCACGATGAACATTAGTATAACTTAATTAAAGCAGTTCGCACAATCATTTCTAAAATTCACAGTCCAAAACAAATGTGAATATTACTTTTGGTTTAATCACCATGCCAATCGCAATTACCCTTCTTATCTCGTCCTTCATTCTGTAGAACCTCTTTGCATACAAAATTGCAATGAAAGTTTTGATTGCCATCAGGTGTAAGTGCTTCTAGCAGCTTCTCGAGTAAACTCCGAAGGAATACAGTACTGATCTTGTTAATCCCTTTGACAACAAACTGGCCCCTGTTATCAGATACGACTGCTAATCCCCTGCACTTGTCACTATCAGCTGTGTGACAGCGCATGTGGCTTTATTACACTAATAAGTGTTAGGGATTTTAAAGCCACTGTTTGGACAAAGGATTAAGATAGATCAGAGGGCTGGCCAGTTTACAGTAACGTTGACTGTTTTCTCTCGGAAGTTTCTATAGTGGAGGTTACTCGCAATGACAATCATTTGAATGAACACTATTTTTTTAATGAACGCAATGAAATAAACATAGTGGTTTTTTTTACATTACCCTTTCATTATCAACAATACTTCAGGGTCATAGGACCAACGAGGAAACAAGAAAGAAAATTGCATTGTTGTGATCAATCATTTTTTCTTTGCCAGGCTCTATAAAGCTCTCTAAGTACGCCCAAAATGTATTCCCACGGCACCAACTTTAATACACACTGGGAATCAGATGGCTGCCACTTCCGCCTATAAAGCCGCTTTTAGTGTTTTTACCTCTCTGCAGAAATTTCTTGGTTCTTGGTTTTGTTGACAGTTCTTGAATATGAAAATGGAATACGTGTATTAAATCATCGTAAGCAACTAAACTTAAAAATCCTAAGGTTGGAATAGCGTCACTCAGCGCCAAAACTTGTTAATTTGATTGATCATCACCTCAGAAAAAAACTGTTTGTACCAAATGTCGATGTACTCACATGAAAAAATGACAAGTTATGCCGAACATCCTGCTTTTTTTTAAACATTACACTATTTGCTTCTTAACATTTTGAGTGGGGCAGGGGGAGGGGGAGCACATCAGGCATTCACACGGGCCAACTGTCTACGTCCAATTGATGAACAATTTGAAGGCTGGTATATTTCAGCCATATTTGATAAGGTTACATTTAATTAACTTCAAAAGCCCTTCCATTTTTTAGGTGTTTGCTTAATGATAGTTACTTTATTCATACTAAAAACAACAGTGTTGCATTTATTATTTTTTTAAATTACATAGGCCTACAGACGGCACATTAGTAGACAATTTTATCTTACATTGACAAAGAAATTAACTGTTCATGTATACAAGATGAACAAACATGATGGATATGTGCCCTTTAAGTTAGTGTCTGAGAGTATTTACTGGTTATTAAAATGGATACAACTAATTGTTTGGGTCACTGTAGGCAATCGGTAATATGCATTTTTATTTATGTATTTACAAAATGTCCACATAGTTATGTGGACGTCAGGCCTTCAAATGGTCCGTGTACAAGGCACGGATCCGAAGGGGGGGGGGGGGGGTAGGTCGCCCCTCCCCCAGCTCTGTCTTAAAACAATTTTGGCACTAATTTCAATTATGATAATTCTACTGTTAATAATATCTGCCTGTGCACAAAGTGTTGTCAGAGCCAACAAATCTTCTCACTAGAATCCTCCACTCAGCGAGACTTAACGGGAATTGTGAGCAAGAACATTACTGGCAGAAAGAGCAGTCCGTGCAGCGCTCCAAGGGAGATCACGAGAAACATGGTCTTGAAGAAAGTCCGGAAGATGTAAGAGTCTGTGAAGGCGAGAACTACGACACCGAGTATGGTAGAAAGGGATCCTTGAACGATCGGCATTCCAAGGGAGAATAGGGCGTAAATAACGTTACTGCGACGACGGCCTGTGTTAGCTGCTATGTAGGCATAGGTGATGTGGGCTGAGAAATCCACACTGAAACCTATGCAGAGTATGAGGTTGGTCATGGCGATGGAGTCGAGGTTGACCTGCCACAGGGTCATGAACCCGACCACCCCTGTGACGATGGAGGCTACGGAAAGGGTGACAATGAGAGAACAGATGGGGTTGGGGATCATGAGCAGGGCCACGATGAACATGGCGCCCACAGCGATAAACATGTTCTGCAGTGTGTTAGGTAGGATGGCTATGTATTGATCGAAGAAAATAAAGGCCGGATGGTAAGCTATAGCGGGAAGTTCTGAGTTCTCGGCTATCTCCCTCATATCTGTCATCATGAATCGCTCTTTGTCTGTGGAATCCAAGTCCTTGGTGGTGACAAAGAATCTTGTTGCCGCCACAGTGGTGCCATTGTCACTGAAGACGACATCTAAGGAGTATTTCTGGTAGGCTGGAATCTTCAGGAAATTCTCTCGCAATATGTCTACAAACTGAGTCTGGGTTGGATTACTGAGGCCGATGGTTTGCAGGAACTCCAGATAATCTCTCAGCCAAGACACAGTCAGATTCTGATCCTTACCGTACGCATACTCATTCTCCTCCATCTCAGCTAAGGTTTCCTCCATGAGATCTTGCACCACAGGATTCCACACGTCTATGGGCTCCGTGAAGACCAGCGAAACTTGAAGGCCGTAGGTCGTGAAAAACTGCGATTCATCATCCAAAAAGTGGGCTGCGTAGGAGTCATCTCTGGCAAGGTTGCGGAGAGTGAGACCTTCGCGAACCTGGGTGCATCCGTAGATGGCGGTGCCCAGGTAGCCCAGAAACAGTAATATAGTCAGAATCACCACCCACCAACGCGTGATAAACGGGCCGTAGTAATTCTTGAAGAATAGCATGAGGGCGTGGTCGTTAGTGTCACCACCCTCCCTGACTCTGGGTTGGTGTGGAGAACCACCAGCGCAGAATATGGTGTAGGCTGTTGACTTAGACTCATTCTTAGGTCGGACTTTGAGGCAGGACATGCAATGTCGGTTAGCTGCCTCGCGACGACCAGTCAGCACCATACAGGCGCCGAAGAAAGTGATCTGATAGGCGTAGGCAAAGATGACGGCCACACCCGTGTACATGCAGAATATACGGACAGATCTGAAGAACGTAATGGCGCCAATTCCAAAGGCCAGAGAGTCTGTAACGGACGTGATGGTAATAGACATGGCGGCTTCAGAGAAGGCATGGCGCATGCGTAGTTCCACTGGCCATCTGACATCAGTCTGTCGCCAAGCAGCCAACATGATGAACATATCATCAACTCCAATACCTGTTAAGATAGAGGGAAACCATTAAGAAATCTTGAAAACAAATTGTCAAACCAAATAATTGCTTTCCAATAATACACTATAATAATAATAATAATAATAATAATAATAATAATAAAGAGCATTTATAATGCGCCAAATCCATCTTGATTAGATGCTCAAGGCGCAGAGAAACAAAACAAATAAACATGAACAGCAAAAACAGCAGGGAACAAAAGTACGCACAAATGAAAATACATGAATATGAAACAGTACATATGAGAGTGAAATCAAACTGGGTGATTAATGAAATGCTGCTTGGAATAGGTGGGTCTTCAGAGCACATTTAAACTCATGGGAAGTAGCACTATCACGAATATTTTGAGGAAGTTTGTTCCATAACATAGGTCCAGCATGAGAAAATGAACGTTCCCCCCAAGATTTAATAGTTTTAGGCACAACAAGCAGGGACGAATTTGCAGACCTGAGGTACCTAGCAGGGTTGTAAGAAATGAGCAAATCAGAATTATATCCAGGGGCAGAACCATGTAAGCAATGAAAAACAAGCAAAAGTAATTTGAAAACTATTCGAAACTGTAAGATTGACAAGGAATCCGTACTTGTATCTCTTCTGACATCAGCTGCTATGATGACATGACTATGCGTTTCCCCATATTTATATCACAATGCTACCTTCCTAACTACTTTCAGGGTGTTTTTGTCTCACATGCCTGATACACACGTACGTGTACAATTATGTTTGACAGTCATTTGTTTTCAAAAGTAAATTCCAAACAAGGCACATTTTCCCATCTGCCAATAAAATCTAGACACCAAAACTTGATCCATTTTGCTGTTTAATGTTACAGACTGGATCCAGTAGTAAGTATTAATATCACCCAATGAATGTTATTCTTAATTTTAAGCTTTTTAGTCAGTAACAGTAATTAATAGAAAAAAAAATGTTTTCTTTATGAGGTTACTTTTAGGGTTAGGTTACTTTGCTTAATGTTATGCATTGACATCCGCACATTTAAACTTTGAACCGACAAATAAATTGAACCAATTAAACTAGGTCTATTTCTGTTCGATGCACAGCACATACAGCTTTTCCGCATTTCATATTTTAGAAACGTTTTCAGCTTTTTTGGACCATATGCAGTCATATTAACTGTTAGTTATCGGACGTTTAAATATAACTTTCAAACTTAAAAACTATTACAATTGCAAAATAAATCAACTGATGAATATCATCGTGCCGTCATTTCACACAGTGAATACCATTGACATTATCTAACTACCCTGCAAGTGCCAAGCATCCGGGCATTCTTCTCATATGTTTTCAAAATACTATAATTTTTGATGACGTTCCTATTACGTCACACATTATTTGAAACTTTGTGCATACAGCTAAAAACATACATAGATGTTTTGCACATTGCGTATGTGAGATACTGCAATAAACGTTACAATTTCAATAATCTAAATAGAATCACATGATGGCGTCATCATGACGTCATTTCAATATTCATACTTAACACCTCCCTGTCTATATACAAAAGTTCGACAAAATCGGTCAATATAGAACTTTAATTTAAGCACCTTAAGATGATATCACATAACCATTGATGACGCCATCACAATGTCACTAGTTCAGGACCACCTTTAGCAAAGATGCATTAGTCTAAGTCTATGCCTAGTTGAAGTCAATCTGTAAAACAAGTTAATGACGTCATCATGACGTCACCTCATATTATAAATACTAGTATCAATATCTAACTACCCACCGAGTTTGATAACGATCATTCATTCCCTTATATGTGTTTCAAAAAGTCACGTTTCGATCGTGAGATGAATACAGAAAAATGAGAAATCGATAAAAATTCACATGATGACATCACTTCAGTTTTCATCTATTACACATCCCTTACTATGTACACAAAGTTTTAATCCAATCGTCCAACTCAATCGAACATGTACTTCAGGGTATAGCCTGCAAACAAAATGCAACTTTAAGGGTGTGTCACGTTGTCGCCGATGAGATCATCATGACGTCATGATTTGGAATGCATCTTCAGATGGTGGTCTAAGTATGTGTCCAGTTTTAACTGGATTGTATTTGAAAAAAAATCATGTTAAATTTTGCAATGAGAAAAAATAAATTAAAAGTAAAAAAATAATAAAAACAGTTGATGACGTCATCATGACGTCACTTCAGGTATTGAAAACTATTATCAATGCCTACCTACCCACCGAGTTTAATAACGATAAAAATTCCCTCATATGTGTTTCAATATGTACAAGCCAAGACCACAATGCAAAATGTGCATTGACAAGTTCGAGCTGTCCATAACTACCTCCACAAACCCCATTCCGTACACCAACATTCAACATTACATCATGGTCGTGAACATACGTGCCATTCGGGTCGCATGGCATAAAAGCAGGGAAGTTGTGGGTGTATTATACGAATTATACGGTTTTATACGAAACCGCGGCTGTGCATGCATACGAATTCGCTCGAAAAAGATGTGGGGTTCCATTTTGCTATGACACCGCCTCCGTGTATTGCGTGCTGATGGGTTTTTCCCGATGAGAACTCATGTGTGTGTACAGCACGTTGAGCAATTTGCACACATGCATGGGTACACGCAAATGTCACGGAGTGACAGCCTTCCAAAAAAATTGAACGGGTTGTGGATTTTTGGTGATCAGTTCCAGGCAGGCAGAACGTGCAGCCACCACTTGATTTATGAGACCACATCAAGGCTATCGTTTCGGTTTGCGGTAACACCATGTGGTAATAACTACTGCTTAGAAGATATTAGTTCTGAGAAGAACTTGTCCTGCTTATTATCAACTTTGCTAAGTAGTTTTTTGTTCTGTTTAGAACAGTCTCCTGACGATGACTAGAGCAGGCTAGTCGAAACGTTGAGACCAAAGACAAGTTCTTTTAGAACTTACAGCAGGACTGTTCTAAACAGAACAAAAAACTACTTAGCAAAGTTGATAATAAGCAGGACAAGTTCTTCTCAGAACTAATTTCTTCTAAGCAGTAGTTATTACCACATGGTGTTACCGCAAACCGAAACGATACCGATACCCCACCATGCAAAGCCTCAAATCTTATAACATCAAGGCTAGACTGACCCTGGGTTTCTTATTCCCTAGCATTTCTGAATAAACAATACAAAGTCACCGATTGGTGTCCAGCTTTATCCATCTTTTATTAGTGGACAGACCCCAACCCTAGAATCAAAGTAGGGCAGAACCACCTCACCAAATTCCAAAAAATTTTTTACGGCTTTGTTAGGGCGTACATGTATGCACAAACAAAAATACAAGTCTATGACTCATGATGACGTCATTAAAAATGCCATTTTCGACACGGGGACGATCCGATCGTCATGAAACTTGGTGGATACATAGATAATGGTACTAGTATGCAAAATCTAAAATGACGTCATAATGACATTATGGGCTGATTTTTTTTTAAATTTTTAAATTTTTTAAGATGGTTACTTTTATCAGAAAAATTGACAGTTTTTGATTTGATCGACTCAAAACTTGGTACAGACCAAGACCACATTCACATATTCTCATTTTCTAAAATAAAGTTGCATTCGGGTGACATTACAATCAGATTTTTGTCTCAATCAGTATAGTTTGCAATGCCACATAGACTTTGTATTTAGTAGTGTTTCTACGCGTTTCACTGTGCCCGGTGCAGTGCATATGCATGTTTCGAACTGATACAAATCATGTACTGGTACACCCATATACATGTTGTAAGTACAATTGCGCGGGTCATTTACGGCGAAAGTGAAGCAGTGTCTCTCCGCGTTTTCCTGTGCCCCGACATAATCCGTTTGTCTAAAATTGTCTAAATTGTCTAAATTGTCTAAAAAAAGTTGCTTTCTGGTGACATTATGATCAGATTCCAAGCCACATAAACGTCGTATACAAAACAGTGTTTCTCCCAATTCCATGTGCCCCGTATTAGGCCTATCTACGTTAATACGACCGCATGTACATGTACATACATGTACATGTTGCGTTGCAATGCGTGGGTCATTTGTCAAAGTGATGAAGTGTTTCTCCGCGTTTTCCTGTTCCGTACATAGGCTATAATTATGTAAGTTTTGATCGTATGTGTGCATAGTACATGGGTGGGTGGAAGTTCAATTCGATTTGTCGACAAAGCGATTTTTTAAGGCAACAGGGGACGCCACAGGTTGAAAATCAGTACTTTATTGAGTTTCAACAGTTACAATTTAGCAAAATCAGTGTTGACATAAAATTAACTTTGAACTTGATGAGTATATTATTTGTTTTATTTTTAAAAATAATGTACATAAAAACATGTACTATTATATAATCTAAAAAGCACAAAGTCATACAAAAATTATAATGCGGAAAAGCCCTATGTTCTGTTTCAAACAGACATAGACCTCTAGTTTCTTTCTTCTGTTTGTTCCATGAAAAATGCCCCAGACTTTGTACACGATGTTTGTACCGCTCAATGTTTGGCATTCATCTTTGTCGTAAATCGTTGTAAGTCAGCATAGGCATAGTCCCTATAAAAAAGGTGTGTCCCGAAGAGTGACTCATGATGACGTCATCATGGCTCATGTGACGTGGTCACAAATATGCATACTTTAAAATCCTATATCTACAGAACTGTAAGTCCGATTGGGTCGAAACTCGGTATGTATAGACCGGGATGTGTTATAGGCCTATGTTAAATTGTTTTTTGTTTGTTTGTTTTTTACCTCTTAGCCACATATCTCAAACCCACCATGCAAAATTAGAAATTCTTTTTGCATTAGGGTTCTTAGGTCATATGTATGTGCACACAATTTTGTAAAAGGTGTGACGTCACGATGACGTCATAATCAATGCAATTTATTTTTTCAAAGCACAAGGGAGGGTCCGATCGTGATGAAACTTGGTGGGAAGTTAGATAATGATAAAAGTATTGCAATATGAAATGATGTCATGATGACGTTATCAACTAATATTTTATTAATTTTTATAAAACGATTTTTTTTTCTGTGTGCATAGTTTGACATGAAATGTCAAATTTAATTCAGAATAGGTATGTGATAAAGCGTTGTTTTTCTAATTATTCTGAGCATTTTGAAGTATCATGCACTCTCAAAAGGGACTGGAAAGGACAAACACAGCAAACATGACTTTGTGTAAATGCGAAAAAGCATTATGTTATGTTTGTCGTGCTGCGATGCATCGTAAGTTACGATGAGTCTCCTGAAATCAGTTGCTGGTCCTATTCTTTGACACGACGTCATAACATTAACACCAGAACCAGACTGACTTACCGTTGATTCGTGTAACACATGATTGAAAAAGTGTACATTGAGGATGTCTAGTCCTGTATTTCATATTGTACTTTTAATTACAGATATGAACTACATGACAAACTTATCACCCTATCAGAAAAAAATAATTATGTTTGAAGAAGTTAGTTACCTAAGTTGACATTGGGATATTCTGTCGTCTGTTTAAATCCCTCGCGGGTGTTACTGTACACGTGTGATTATAAAGTGTTTCTTTTATGCTCTGTAAAGTAAGGTTTACTCACCGAGGATGAGAAATGGTGCTGAGCCGACGACATTAATGTACGGTACTCCAATATAGCTCATCAGCCCGAATGATGAAAGTACGGCCAGGCCGGCAGATAGGACACCACAAGCGGCCAGCCACGGCTTGCTACGCACCCAGTCTAGCATCACGCAAGAACAGATACTGAACGTGATCACGATGGTGAACGTGATAGAAAAGTCCTTTACGACACTGGAACTAGCTTTATCCAACTCGCTCTCTAGAGTAGAAGACACCTCGCGAGTTACTGTGATGACCGATGACGTGAAAGCCTCAGCCACTTCCAGAAATTGTTCCTCCCACAAGGCGCTTTGATGGTCCTCCACACTGTCTTCATACCGTAAGAAGTAGGACAACTTAATGACCTCAGCCGAGAGGACATCATCTTGAGAACCTGATACAAAAGTCACTCCAGCTAGTCCTCCACCGAGAAAATAAGTTACGGTGTTATCGGCTGGTGAGGTATAGAGGGGAAATGTCAGGGTGGTTGACGGAACCTTAGACGAGTTGTAATCATAGGCAGCCAGTATGGGGTTTTCGTTACAAACACCGTTCCATTTCACGCAGAGATCGCTGAATGTGTAGTTTTTGTTCTCGTGTTTGATGCTGGTGGTCATGATCTGCTCGTGTAAATCTAAAATGTCATCCATGGCCGCCTGGGTCAGGATGTTCTGTCCATCCTTGTGCCGTATAATCACGCTGCCAGCCCGACCAAGTCTCGTCAGACGTGACACCAACGTGTCATTGTCACCGTGCTCGGCAAATAATGTTTCCACCGTGTTTCTGTCCGTCTTGGCCTGGCCATTTTCAGGAGTGAACAGGTTCTCCACGCTCTGTTCCTCCGTCAGAAACACCATCCCAGCCCCCAGTGCTCCGGCAACAAGTAGCGGCACCAGAAGAAAGGGAATCGGGTGCCTCGCGATGAATCCACCGTGGTTGAAGAAGCACAACCTGACGATTTTGTCGATGCAATCGAACGCCATTTTAATGCTACACAATCGACTCCGTTTATATGGACGTGATGTCGGTCTGTTCAAATGCCAGAGTTTGTGTAACTTCCTTCGTCTGTGGTGTTCCCGCGTTGCTGTGCAGAGAACGCTTAACCACAGGCCAATTTCCCTGTTATGTGGCTTAATGCAGCTCGCTATCTAGGCTCTGGATCCCGACACTAACGTGTTTCCTTTTCCAGGCTGATGAAAAACAACAGGGCGTTACAGATGACATTTGTACCACTGCAACTTGAGCTCATTTCAACGTCTCCAAAAATCCAGGCCTTCCAAACGATCTAGCGATCAACTCATTTATCCAGGCTACCCTGTCTGGATTGATGATTTTACCTCAAAACGGTGATTTTCTCAATTTTTCATCGCAATTGTTGAAATCGCTGTCCGTTGCAGCCATATTGAATTTACTGCGCTTGCGCAACCGGGCTGCGATTTTTTTTTATTAATTGTTTTTGCATACCAAGTGCTCGCTATTGAAGCATGTAGTTAAGTGGGGTTTTTTTTGAAGAAGGGGTCATGCATATTGTTAATGTCGCGAACACATGTTCATAATGATCTATGATGGCCCTGAAAGGGACAACAATGCCGTACATAATATATTTCACGACATCGCAATTGATATTATCTCGACATCGCATTGTTTTTAAAATATTTTCATCCCCCCAAAAAGGACCTTGCCCCAAAAGACCTTGTGTGAAGTAAATTAGTTCGGTGTGTGCTTAAGAATTTTCGATGCGTTCTCGAGCATAATCCGGCACGTTCGTTCGCATTATGTAATCAGTTATCAGACTATACGTGTACTGAAGTCAGAGAACAATAACCAAAAGAAAAATGTAAAGATTACCAATAAACACATTAACTAAATATGAATTAACAAACGAGAAGAATAATTGCTAACAATTACAAACAAATGTCAAAACTAAGATGTAACACCACGCCAAAAGTGCCAAAACAAATGAATCGAACGTATTTTTAAAACTTTTCAAAGAAACCACACAGGGAAACTGACTAGGTGCATGATAATATTTTAAAGTTGAACAACGAAATTGAATGGATGGGGGTTTGAACCTATGACCTCCGGATTACTGTTAAACAAACAATATATTTATGAAGAAACAATAAGTAGATAAAGTGCACTTGTATTGTTATCAGTGGATTATATGCTTCTTCCTGCTTCAGTGGCTGATAAGATAAAAATATTTTAAACGTTTTTATTTCCTTATTTCTGTATAAACTTATTGTTGGTTTCTTTTGGTTTGATCTTCTTAAAACACGTTAGAGTACATGTTGGGCACACGCAATGCCACACGGAGAACTAAGTGTCATCCTAGTTTTAGAAATGTTCTTATTTCATTTACACTTGTTTTATTAGTTTATAAATTTGAAAATAATCTATATTTTGTCGTTTTTGGTAAATATATAATTACACTTTTCTTTGGTAACTGCTCTCAGAGTTAAATACACTTACATAACACCATGCAAATTGATGGATTAAATTGATTGATATAAGACGAATTCGATGTCTGAATGCTGACAAATATCACTGACCAAGTACTAAAATAGGTTGACCAAAATTTGAAATAAAATGATGAAAATGCCCAAATTGATTCAGCTATAAGCATGTGGAATTTTTCTCTGATGAATTTGAATATAAGAAGTGGTCAATTTAAAGAATTCATCATATGAATTTTACACTGGATGATATTTGTAGCAAATATCCATTCCTCGGAAATGTTTAAAAGCTATGAGACATCAATTTTGGGGAAAAATGGAAAGTGCAGGAAAAGTGCTTCACAACTGAGGGGCGTTGTTGCTGTGATGTCACCTTAGGAACACATTCGTTATCCAAAGACTCTCAAACTTCTGCTTGTTGAAAGCATGTAGGCATAATGTTTTCCCATTGTATTACTGTCATACACAAATGAACCGCTGAAAACAGAAAAACAACCACAGGTAACTTGTTAGAATTCAGGTGCCTTTTTATGCTGAAGCACATGCAAAACGTAGGTTTCTGCCTCAAATGATATCACAGCTTTGCTTGTGATTATGGAAATTTGCATTAGCGCAGAATTAGCAACCACAATGGCACCTTAAAATGGGAACAGGAAGATTAAAATAAGGTTACGGTACACAAAGGTACATTCAAGGGATACTTTTGTTTTTTAATCCATTACAACTCCCTTTTTTCTACTCTTTTTAAACTACACGCCCACAATAGTTTTGGTTGCTTTATCCCGATGTATCGTTATTTGATGCCTATTCTCCAGGATGTAAAAACCGGTCAAAAAATAAAGAAACGAATCAAGACCGGGTTTTTCTTCATATTATCAGCCGCATTTCCCTTAACTGAAATCTTGTCTGCTCGGATAGGGGAAAAAACACACTACAAAAAAACAAAAGTCAATTGTGCTTGATGGTTGAAACAATTCGACCTCGAGTGATGAGTAGCATGTAGCGAGTTCACGCAAGCTGAACGGCCTCCTGTCTGTCGAGTTTGAACCCTAACGTAGAACATATCAGAGCAGCATGACCTCGCGATCGCGCGACATTATTATGCATGACCCTTTCGTGAACATGGCACATTCCTGTGAGCCCATAGCATATACACCATGCGGATACACTAATGTAGTAGGCCTATGGGAAGATATGGCAGATCGCTATGTGTCGATTTTAAGTCAAAACATTCCATCCTTCACGTTTAATTCCGCAATGTGTTGTGAGCTGAAATTGCACCAGTGTGTAGTACTTACATACAAGGCTATCCGCGAATTGCCAATCGAACAGGTTCTGTCATTCATCTGAAATAAGATTTTAGAGGATTAAGAACGTGGAAACTTGAATGTAGCATTCATACGAATGATGCTAAATGGCAAGATAGTACGGAGCCCCTAAAGGGACAGGCATGATGATTTTTTTTATTTCGTTCCCTCGAAATATTATTTCACATAAAAAAAAAATCATCATGCCTGTCCCTTAGGGGCTCCGTAAGATAGTGATACCCGTCTGCTCCACTAAACGTTTACGATAATGTCAGTGGTGGTAATTGTATGTCGAAATAATGACGGCTGTTTTAAAGGGGCACTAGGTCCAGCAATCCCCGAAAATTTCATGTTTTTGATTGTTTACATATTTCAAACATCTGGTTCAAAGGAAACCAACCTAATGTCTTACCGTTCCCAAGAAAAGACAACAAAAAACCTCGGTTGTTTACATCGGACACGACGGAGTACGAATACGCTTTTCCTGTCGTTTTCACTTTCATTCAATGTACGTACGATATGTATAGACAGCATCGTGCTCGCGAACAGCGCGCGGTGACCAATCACCAACGCACAAAATATGGTTTCTTACACGTCCGCAAAAGGCGAACACTTGTGATTACGGATGAAATCACAACTAGCATCACAACAGTTCGAATTGTTGAGGTCGCAAAAATGGACCCCGAAATTCGTTCTCGCACGCATAATACAGGAATAACACAAAAACGCCCAGTTTTGAAGGATAGTTGTGTGGATGTTTATATCCTACTTTTAAATGTTCTTTCAGATTAATATCATTTCGTTCAAAGCGCGTTTTGTAGCCCAATTAGGCTGTTCTAGGACCCAGTGTCCCTTTAAGTCTCCGTAAAATTGGTCTGAGTAACTGAAAATATGACTTCTTTAAAAATAACTGGGTTTTCATAAATTTAAGTTATCTTTTTTATATACCACTAATAAATGTAGCTTTTTTTCTAAGTACAAAATATGATTTCTTTGCCCAGATATGTCAAGTATTCGCTTTCGACAAACAAAATGTCACAGCGCAGTGCAATATGGCCGTCATCGTTATAAGCAATTTTAACTTTGCAACGTTTCTGCATTTTTCCCCTTTTTTTTAGTTTGTGAGGGAGTAGGGGGTATTTTGTTCGGAAATGTTGCAGGTGAAAATCTTACGTAGGAACAATTTCATCAACCGCCTCCAAAAAATCCGGAACCGCCCAATACTAATGTTGTGCATCGGGTCGGGTCGACCAGGCCAAACCGACCCGAAACGTTATAGATATAAACCGAATCGGAACCGAAACCGATCAAAACTCGACCCGAAAAAAACCCCGAAAAGGCCCTATCGTCATACACAGGTTTAGGCCTACACTTCGAAAAATGCGCATGCGTGAAAGAGCCTCATTTTGAAGTTGCGATCAAAAGTTTCAAAATGACGGCGAGGTGTGCGGCAGTAAGGCCAAAAAAAAAAAAATATTCGGTCTCTGGTCAGACCAAAGTTCCGGAATTGACGCGGCCAAGCGGCTTTTTTTTTTGTTTTTCCTTTTTTTTTTTTTCTTCAAGCTTGGATTGTACAGACAAGGTGGGGTACTATTTTGCTTTTTTGGTGTCCTCGTGTACACTGGTGTCCTCCATAATTTGCCTTGGTGCTCTCGATCATTTGCCTTGGTGCAATTTCCCATTCCTTGGTGCTCTTTGGTAAAAAAAAAATGAGGAGGTGCGGAAATAGAGGGTGCTGTTGGAGCTACCGCGGAACATTTTGGAAAAAAAAAGATCGACGCGCATGATTAAAATCGACGCGCGCGCTGACCAGAGACCGACTTATTTTTTTTTTGGCCTAACGGTAAGCGTAAGCGCTGTCATAATATAATCAATTTCGCACGTGATTTCCCAGCGAATAGGACAAGATCAAAACTTTGTGTCCTCACATTAATATTTAGGCTGACAGTGATAATAGTGATTCATTAAATCCATCTCCCTGCAGTTCATTCAGTATTCAAATCCGTTAGTTTTCTTTCCGAATCATTCTTGAATCAATCAAGTCAACTGTCACTGTGCTGTGGTCAATGCTGTACATGTACTGCATACATCATACGTGCAATGGGCCGGACTCAGGGATATTGAGTGCTGAAAAACATGAAAAACAAAACCACCAGGCCAACTTTACTTTTTCTTCAGCTGACACTGTGACACAATTCTCCGACAAATTTCTTGGGCAATTTTCTTGGGCAAAGAATTTAAGAAAAGGTCCTCAGTGCTCTCAGATTAGATAGTTTAATTTAGACTAAACTAATAATAACTAAATTTTAGTTATTATTTCATCCCGAATTTTGACATGTTTGAAGACTCACCATGCTCAACTCAATCATTTGTCCATTTTTAAAGGAGACTTTTCTCCAATATTTTTTGCACATGACAGGGAAGACAAGTGATTTCAAAATGAGGCTAAAGACTAGACTGGTACATGTCCATCCATGCCAACCATGGTCCAACTGTTTGAGAAGACTGACCTCTTCATCATTCATTATCATTGACATTAGTCTGGTGGCTGACAATGGATGGGGAAATGTGTAGAAATAGAGACTAGTAATAGTACCACATGACATACAACATCATGCACAGCTT